ATAAAAACTATATCATAGACACTATACCATATACTATATATCATAAATACTATATCATAGACTCTCTATCATAGACACTACATCATAGACTCTATATCATATACTCTATATCATAAACACTATATGATAGACACTATATCATAGACACTATATCATAGACACTATATCATAGACACTACGTCATATACAATATATCATATACTCTATATCATAGACTCTATATCATAGACTCTATATCATAGACACTATATCATAGACACTACGTCATGGACACTATATCATATACAATATATCATATACTCTATATCATATACTCTATATCATAGGCACTTTATCATAGACACTATATCATAGACTCTATATCATAGACTCTATATCATAGACACTATATCATAGTCACTATATCATAGACACTATATCATAGACACTATATCATAGACACTATATCATAGACTCTCTATCATAGACTCTCTATCATAGACACTATATCATAGACACTATATCATAGACTCTATATCATAGACACTATATCATAGTCACTATATCATAGACACTATATCATAGACACTATATCATAGACACTATATCATAGACTCTCTATCATAGACTCTCTATCATAGACACTATATCATAGACACTATATCATAGACTCTCTATCATAGACTCTATATCATATACTCTATATCATATACTCTATATCATAGGGCACTATATCATAGACACTATATCATAGATACTATATCATATACACTAAATCATAGGCAATATATCATATTCTCTGTAACATATCACAATATCGGAATTTTCAGCTTCAAAGGGTGTTTGTGTTATCAACTACAGCAATATATGTGAATGCTTCAGTCCTTTAAAAACAACTCATTCGATAGAATGCTGCGGAGACAACATTATACGATTAGAATGGACTGGTGCGACAATACTTTACGAGCTAACAAATTCAACCTGTAAGCAAATAACTTCAACGTTTTCGTGTTTAACCAGAGGCCATGAGAGTTTTACCTTAAAAATAAAGTAAACATTTTTAACAGTTGTAGTGGAAAGAAACGATGTAATGTTACTGTGCATCCATCTGGA